TTCCCTGTCCCTTTATCTTTTTCACCCATCCTTCCATCCACTGTTCCCAAATATACTCACTGACGCCTACACCCATGCTGTGACCCCTGCCTGGCGAAGGAGCCCAGAGAGAAAAGAGTTACAAAAGCAGAACATGTGGAAACCAGAACAAAGACAGGCGAGAGGGTGTGGTGGAAGGAACCTGGGTTCTGGAGTCAGGCTGACCTGAGTCTGCCTCCCGGCTCTCCTACTTACCAGGAAGTTACCTGCAATCTGAGCCTCCATCTCCCATCTGTAAAATGGACACTAAGGGGCAGTGGTGGGGGATCTCTGAGATCACAGGTGAAGCAACTGAGAGGGGGCTGTTGCCGGACACCCTTCCCGTCTCACTTTGTGTCCCTCAGGAGAGCCCTCTGAAGTCATTCCCCGGACCCTGAAGGGAGATAACACCCTGGGACAAGTACAGGGTCCCCAGTGGAAGGTGTCGATGGAGCAGGTCAGCTCCTAGCAAATGGCTGGGCCGCAGCAAAGGGGCCGTCTTCTTCTCTCCCACGCAGGGGAAAGAAAATGAAGCTCGAGACTCCCAATCAGCTGCATTTTGAATTTTTCTTTCCAGTAGGAAAGAAAGAAAAAAAGACCAAGGAGCTAAAACTGTCAAGTGAACGCTGGGTGGTGGAGTAGGAGTTGCCCACCCATCTCTGCCTCTCCAGCTGGGGCTCGACCCTGCTCACAGAGCTGGAGGGCCCTGAGGGGCTCAGCACAGCCGGACCCCACACTGCCCCAGGAGCAGTGTGGAAAGGAGCACCGTCAAGTCTGTCGTGTTGTGTAAAATCAAACCTCTGTGAAGAGGCAGTGACCTGAGTCTGATAACTGCACCTATGAGCCCAGGGCGGGAAGCCACACACTACGCCAGGTGTGGCCCCCAACACAGCCCTCCACCTTGGACTGTTCTCCTCCCTCCGGCTGCTGCTCAGACCCTACCCGGCAATCTGCCTCAGAGGCGCTCCATCTGGCCACCACCTGCTTCTGCCACCATCTTGCTCCCCTCACAGTATATATCAAAGGCCTTCAACATACTCCATCCTTTGACCCAATCAAACCACGTCAGGGGTTCTGCCTAAGGAAGTAATTCGGGGCATGCATAAAGACCCATCTAAAGATGTTCACCACAGTGTGGCTTAAAATGATGAAAGGTGACTGGCAAATGCAAGGAGCAACTCTGGGATGGTGTGGGCCTTGGTGCTGATTTCAGGGCATTGGAACTTGGTAAGTCTCTGCAAGTGGGGCCCATGCTGCCCTTTGAAGAGCCCCAGAGGCAATTCTGATCCACAGCCAAGGTTGTAAGCCATTGCAGTCACCTGATAGAATATGTGCAGCCATTATAAATGACATTTGAGGATAATTTTTATGTGCCATAGAACATACCAAAGGCAAAACCAAATAACCAGGAACTGGACTGCTTTGCTAGTAATTTCTCAACTGCCTAAAAGTAAAAAACACCGAAACAAAACCCAAATGAAACAAAAAAAAACCCAAACCCTAAAACCTGGGTAGAAACTTGCTAACATGTTAACTCCAAATGGTAGGATTATGGGTGTTTTCTCATTCCAAGGCCTCTTCCTACCAAGAGCAGATGTTTTTACAATCAGGGAAATAATGAAAAGACAAGTGGCCTGAGGAGGCTGCCCTACCCCCTCAGCACTGGGCTGCCTGCCACCCTGGAGGCTCATTCAAGTCACCAGTCCCCTCCCCACCCCCATGTGGCCAGTGCCCCCGACGCTTCATCCCTTCTTGGGCTCTCATGTGCTTTGTGGTCATTATTTTAATTACTCCCCCAAACAACCTTGTATGGGAAGTGTTATATCCCATTTTCTGGATGGGGAGAACTGGCTAGCATTAAATCCATGGTGTAAAAACCATCTACGCAATGTGATGATGGTGCTTAGAAAATTTTAGGCTCTCTGGCTTCCCTCTTGGCCTCAGAAAAAAAGCCATTTGTACAGATGAATTGGGACTGAAAGCATGATAAATCTGCCATATATAGGTGATTCTGAGATGCAAATTTCTTCATGTTGTAATATCTGAATTCTGGATGTGTCTTGCAGTTGATGGCACCTTCAATTACAATTGGCGGCATGCTTTTCTCTTAACGGTACATGAAATAATGGTACACCTTATGAGTAAATAGCACCTTACACTCAGTGAAATGTACCATGCCCAAATCCATCACCCTATCCTCAAAGTGCTACTTTTAATGGCTATATAGTATTCTATCACAAGTATTTACTGAACCAGTTGCCTATTATGGACATTTAGCCTGTTTCATGTTGTGACCATTATAATACTGCTACTGGGACACCTTTGCATTAAACTTTCTCTTGTTCTACTCTGGGCATCACTATCCTCTTCCAGGTCCAAATCCTGAGAAACATTTTGACATTTCTTGACCTTTGTCTCCAAATTTTATTACTATGCTCATCTAGTCATTTCTTCTTCATTGTACCTTCTCCCGGTGTAACCACTAGAGGGCTCTCTTCTGAGCTCAGCCAAGAGTCCCCTGTCTCTGCTTACCGCTCCCTTTTCTTTTTCTTTTTCTTTATTTTAGAGAGAGGGGGAAGGGAGGGAGAAACATCAATGTGTGGTTGCCTCTCACGTGGTCTCCACTAGGGACCTGGCCTGCAACACAGCATGTACCCTGACTGGGAATCAAACTAGCGACCCTTTGGTTTGCAGCCCGCACTCAATCCACTGAGCTACACCAGCCAGGCACAGCTCCCCTTTCTATTCATCACTATATTACTATCCAAACACAACTTCAGTCACACAACATCTGTGCTAAAATCTTACACCCCCTGCAGGGTGAACTGCATGCTCCCTGCCTAGCACCCAAGGCTCTGTCAAACTTGGCTCCAAGCTCTTCTGCAGGCCCATCTCCCCACCTGAAGCCCTGACTCCAGACAAAGCAGCCAGGAGGGGTCCTGCCTCCAAGCCTGTGCTCACTGAGCAAATGTGATCCACCTCTACTACAGGAAGGGATACTGTCTTTCCCCAAACCTCACCCGTCAGACCCAGGTCAAGTTTCAGTTTTCCTGTGTTTTATAATGCATTTGATAGTTACAACCACCTGGAAATATAGAGTAACAGAAATTCTTACTTCCTAGTCTTAAAATTTTTTTTCTTATTCCTTACCCGAGGATATTTTTTTATTGCTTTTAGAGAGAGAGGTAGAGCGAGAGAAACATTGATGTAAGAAACATCAATTGGTTGCCTACTGTATGTGTCCGGAATGGGGACTGAACCCACAACTTCAGTATGGGCTCTGACCAGGAATCAAACTCCCATCCTTTTCCTCTACAGGGCAGTGTTCCAACCAACCGAGCCACCTGGCCGGCCAGGGCTTATTCTTTATTCTTGCTCAAGTTGTACAACTTAGAAGTGCAGAGACAGACTTTAAACTTCAGGGGTTCCATCCTCAAATTCAATGCCTTTCAAAGCCAAGTGCAATTACAACCATAAACTCTAGAGAAGCAACTTGTGCCCCAATCACATATCCAGCAATAAGGAGCAAGATTCAACAGCCTCTGCATTGTAGGCATGTACACGACAACTGTGAGATCACTGTAAGAGTGGAGATATTTCACGTCTTTCAGTTCTTAGCAGCCCGAGGAAAGGGCTGAGCCGGTTGTCTCATTCTCATTTTAGAGATGGGAAGACAACAATATTTTCCTTGATTTTTACCAGCTCTCAAAGCAACACCCACTTGACTGGTCTGGCTGAGTCCAAGTAAGGACAAAGAGTCAGAACCGTGCCACTTGGTGACAAGCAACACATGGGGAACTTACTCTAAACTGAAGGGAGTATTTCTTAGGAAGCAAAAAGAGTACATCCCTTCTCTTATGCGACCATGACATTACCAGAAGCTGGGGTGGCCTAGAAAGTCAGGTCTAAGTGCTGGGTGGAAAACAAGGAACAGGGAGAACAGTGGCATTTGGCTCCCACAGTGGCTGCTCCCTCAGCAGCCACTTCACAGAGAGTACGCCTTGGCTGAAGAAAAATCATGCTGTCGGCTATCACTCTGGTCCCCCTCAGACATGTGATGCCGTCATAGCAACATAAAACAAACTCACCCTACAGCAGTGCGATACCGCCCCCCCCCCCCAACTAGGCTGACTGTGGCTGCCACCACTCTCACCTGCTCAGGGGAGGGAGCCCTGTGCTCCTGAGAGAAACGGCTGTCAGCAGGGTTTCCTCCAGTGTTTCCTCCTACACAGAGAAACCCAGGTCCCGGGCCAATTTCTCCATCTCTTTAGCCAAGAGTAGGCTGACTAGAGGGGTATCAGATACAAACTTCTTACAGAAGCTGGGAAAGCTGGCACTTCTATTGGTTCTGGGGTTGACCTGCTATCTTCATCTCCTAACAATAACTAATGACCTCACGGCACAGGGAGAGGGTAAGAATGAGGTAATAGGGGCTCAGAGAGGTTGAGGGGCCGTGGAGGCGGATAACATTATTTCCCAGTCCTCAGCATACTTTATAGTCATTCACACCGAGGTTGCTTTGGGAGACTAAGCAGTGAATCCCCAGGATGCTTTACTTTCTCAAGTGTGGGGATGAAGTCCCATACAGGAAAAGGGCAGTGAGGCCACGTGGGAAATCATGAGCTTCGAGTCCAACTGGCTCCTCCCCTGTTAGCAAGTCAGGTCTCTCCTCCGAGCCTCAGTTCCTGCATTTGTAAAATGGAGATGATTATCGCTACCTCAGTCTTCCTGGGACTCCTCAGTGAGGGCAGGTGTGCGTGAAGGGCCTCGCACTGTATTAACACACAGTCTGTGCAACTGCCCGGGGAGGGGAGGGGTTTTAACATTCGCCAGAGCAGTCAGTGCTTCTCACACGGCTGACCCAGGGAGGACACTCCCCCAGGCGCCACCAATAACACATGTGACCTCTTCTGGTGGTCCCTGAGGTACGTTTCTTAGCCCTGACCAAACACAGGTTAATAACAAGGCGAGAAGTTACTCACTGGCTCAATCTTCAGAGCATTTCGGTAGCTGCCAAAGAAAGCAGCCTGGGCCTTAAGGAAGGCTCTGGCCACACCATCGCCCGTGGTGGTGGAGACCTTCTTCAGCCGGCTCTTCAGTGAAGAGATCTGGTGACCGAGAGAAAGGAGACACAGGTTCAGGGCAGGGTGGAGGGAGGCTAGCTGGCTAAGAGCTCTAGAAAACCCCTGGCCGGGGATTAATTTGATACCTCGGCTGCTGGGAGAGCAAAAATGCATTCAGCATTAGGGCGGATTTTTGACATTTAAATGAATGTTGCTTCTATTAGAACACATCTAATAAAAACACAAACAAAACCACCTTCTAAGCAGTTACGATGTGCCAAGTAAGCTTCACATAAAATTTCTAATTTATCTTTCAACAATCCTGCTAGGAAGAAATTGGTGTTCCCATCTTACGTGGGTGAAACAGTCTCAGAGAGGTTAGATCACGTGCCTAGGAACAAACCTAAGAGGTGGCCAAGTTGGAACATGAATGGAAGCCTTGTCATCATTCCCAAAACTACACAAAGATTTTTAGTTTCAATTCCATTTCCTCCTCAAATTACTTACAAATATTAGAAATAAATGACTTATTTATAACACTTAATATATTATAATATAATAAATTAATAAGTGTTATTACATAGCCCACACCTTTTACTCTAAAGATATAGTAGCAGCTTATACAGAAGCACTCACAGGTTCAAAGAAAATAGATAAGCAAGCCGTGGCGATAGGAAAAGTAGCCGGGAATAGATTCAGTACATAAAGATAAGCCAGAGGTCTTACAGAGCGGCTAGAAATGAAATTTTGACTTAACAGTCTCCTAGTGGTCAAAGCAAAAAGGGATATATAAGAAGTTGTGAAATCCTTATGTCCACACATTACAAGCAAACCAGTTATCCAATTGAACACAGGTTTTCCTCAAAGTGAGAACCAAATGAGGTTCCTCCTGTGAGTCTGCAGCATAGGAATGACGACGACATGTTGGCTCTTGCCCTCCACATTGGGTCTGTTTCTAATAGGGCCTTCACTCGTCTCGGGACGCCACACTGCGTGACCTCCGGGCACACCATGCATCCCCTGTTCCATGTGAAAGGTGCCCCTGGCACTGTGTCATGTGGTGGCCTCAAGTCATTCATTTATTCAACAAATATGATTTTCTGTGTTAGGTGTTGAGGATACAATGGTGAACAAACCAGATACAAGCTCTGCCCTCACTGAGCTTCACTCCCGTGAGGGAAACACCAGGACTGTGACGAACCCGTGACAGAACTCACCAAGGAGCTCAAGGAAGACTTCCTGGGGGGCATCAGGCTTGCAATGAGACCTGGAGGACGAGCTGAAGGAGCTGCCTCGGCCAAGAGGGAGGAACAGTGCGCTGAGCATGGGGAACAACATTTGCAAAGACCCTGTGGCAAGAAGAGTTCAGAGAACAGAAAGGGCTATGGCTTCAGTGGAGAGAGTGAGGGGGACATGGCTCAAAATGAGGTGACAGCGGGGGTTGGAGGAGCTTGTGAGTATACCACGGAACCTTTTTCTTCTTCTGGTGAGAAATGTAAAGCCAATGACTGTTTTTAAGCACACAGGTGGCGTATCAAGGGTACAATTCAAGAATTAGGGGCTTGGATAAAGGAGTATCTAATGGCTTGACATTATTTAAGAATAAAATTTAAGACTAAAATAGAAAATTAGATTCAGGTGGTCCATGGCTCATTTACCAATTTTTAATATGAATGATGAATGATCATTTTCGGGGGCACAAGTTCCATTGCTTTCCTTGGAATCCTAAAGGTGCCTGAGAACCAAACCAAAAAAAACATTAAGAATCACCGATCTGGGATGGACTGCACACACCTTTAGAAATCCATCATGAACACTACTTCTTATTACCTAGCTTCTGATAAGGGATTTCAATAGCTTATTAAAATAGACATATCTTACATGCCATAAAATCCATTCATTTAAAGTATATAGTCCAGTGAAGTGGTTTTTAGTTATAAGGTTGTACAACCATTACTGTTATCTACTTTCAGAACATGTTCATCATCTCCTTCCCCCTAAAAAAGACTCATCTTATTGGTAGTCACATCTCATTCCCCACCATCCTCCTCCTCCCCTCCTCCCTCAATCCAGTCCTAGGTAGCCATCGATCCACTTCCTGTCTCTATGGATTTACTTACTCTGGAGTCACATAAGATGTATGTAATCTTCTGTGACTGGCGTCTTTCATTAAGCATAGTGCTTATTATGAACTGGGTTCATCTACATTGTAGCACTTATCAATACTTCATTCTTTTAGCTGAATAATACTTCATAGCTGAATAATATTCCACTCTAAAAATATAGTGCATTCATTTATTTATTTCTTCATCAGTTAATGGGCATCTGGGTTGTTTGTACTTTTTGGCTATAATAAATAATGCTGTTATATATATTCATGTGTAAGCCAAAGGACACACGGAATAATACTTAGTACACAGTAGGCCCACAGTTACTGTCTACTGAGTACAGGGGAAAATCCTGCGTTGCTGCTGAGGGAGTGTGCCACATACTGACAGTCAGCTGAGTGCAGACAGGACTGACATCCTCCTCTGTACTCCTAAGTCAGAAGTGAGAAATATGCATGAAGAGGGTGGCCACCCCATCTCCGGTTGGAGGCAGGCTGAGGAAAACACTTTTCCTCTGGAAGCAGTTTGGACTCTGTGTCAACACCTGAGTGTAAATACCTGGTTTATTGTGACCTCCCTTACTCTGGGACATATGAGCTCCTGTACCACAGCACTGGCACCCATGAGGGGCAACACAGGCCATTGGCACCTGGGCACGCTCTGCCATGGACTTTCAACTTGAAATAGAGATGCAAAAAAGACATATGCTTTATTAAGGTGTTAAAAATATTGCCCACTCCCCACATGCTTTATTAAGGTGTTAAAAATATTGCCCACTCCCCACCATCCAAATAATAAAAACTCTGCCCCTCCTGGGGACTTGGGTGACATTTCCATCCTTTGAAATTGTGCAAACCACTGTCTCTCTTCTTCTGGCTCTTCAAAGGCCTTGGGCCACCTGCGCCTCAGATTATTCCTCACTTAACCTTCCCTGGCCTTTCCCGTTCATTCGGGAGGTGTTTAATTACCTTGGATTCACAAGCTGCACCTCAGGTGAGCCTCTCCTAATGGCCTCATTACCATTTTACACAAAGGGGTAGTTGTGGATGGTAACTGAGCAAATATGAGCCTGCCTTCCCACCCGCCCAGCTAGTCCGAAACCAGCCAAGGGGTCCTGAGCTTCTGGTGCCCCTGTGACTACTTAGGCCAAGACTTCTGAAGCTCTCCCATCACTCTGCATGGCGGAGAAGCTTTTGTCAGCACTTCAAACTTGGAAACTTCAAGTAGATGCGCATCTGATAACTGGTGGTAGCGTTTTGTCCTTTAAATAAAACCAAGGGAAGAAAATCTAAGGCTTAAATAACCCAAAGTCATACATCTAAAGCTGAACTTGCTCTGAGTACTCCTGAGGGTCCTGATTAGATAATTAACATCAGGGTTCATCAGGCTTAAGTTAGGAGTGACAGAAATGCTGATGAGGATGGCTTCCCCCTTCAATCGGGTATCATCAGAGGCAGGCAGAAAACAATGGGAAGGGAGTACAGAACTGAATTCATCAGGCTCTCCCATTGGGTTACTGAGGCATCACCCAACCACTCTCTGAGGCTGGATCCGGATGCTGGATGCCAGACCTCTCTTTCCTTTCCACAACCATTCTCACATTTTATCAACACCACTCTAAATATGTCCTGAACCTGCCCTGTCCTCTCAGAGCACGTGACCTGGGACCTCTGCTGTTCACCTCCATCCATCCTCTCAGGCCCAGACTGGTGTGGTGGTTTCCTAGATGGGCTCTCTGTCTCCAGTCTGCACTCAATGCCATCCTAGAGCTGTCCTAGTCATCTCAGGAAAACATGAATCTGATCACTTCAATCCCTTCCTCAAAATCCTCCAGTGCCATCAGCCTGGGCCTCCAGCATCTTCGGAAAAGCATCCCAATTCCTCAGAGCAGTCTGCGAGGCTTTCCTCAGCTGGCCTTGCTTTCCGCAGCCCCACTTAAAGTTTTACTAGACAGGTACTGAATTTCCATCTAGAAGCACACATGACTCTTTAGCCCATACACGTGCCAACAACTCAGATGGAGCTGTCCCTTGTCCCTTTCTCTTCTGCTTATGAACATCTCTTTCCCCCTTTGAAAGATCATCCATGCATCTGTCAGTGGAACCAATTAAGTATATTATATCACATCCTCACAGTGAACTACTGCATAGCTAAAAAGAATGTGGCAGTATTGTGTAAACTGACAGGAAAAGATGTCCACAAAATATTGCCAAATGGGGGAAAACATGCAACCTGCAGAGCAATATGTACGGCATACAGCATTTAAAAATTATGCATGCACATATATGTAGTATAAATCTAAAATGTGAGGTATTAAGCTTTAACCATGTGGAGATGCTTTCTATTTTATGGACTTTTGATTGTTTTGATTATCCTTTATAAAAAAAGCATATGTTACTTTTATAATGAAGAATTTAAATGAGGTATTTTTCTTTAACAGTCAAATTAAACACTGCCTTGGGTTAAGGGAAAGAGGGAAGCCAGATGTCCCCTCATCTGTGAAGCCTTCCCTAACCCCTGAGACAGGGTTAACAACACCCTGCCTGGCCCCTGCGGGACTGCATAGGTGACTCTCCGCTGAGCTGAAGTATCTACCATCTTGCCTGCCAGACTCTGAGTTCCCAGAAGATTCAATAGTGCTTGACCCAGTGTAGCCATCCAGCCATTTCTACTGAATGAAAGAACAGATGAGCAAGTATTTTGACATCCTGCAAGGAATTTCCAGGGGCTGAGCCTCTCTGCTTGGAGGCAAGTCTAGGATCACATACGATCATTAGAAGAAAGTGGTCTCAGTTGGGAAGGGCTGGGGCAGAAACTGACACTCATTCTTTCCCCTTCTGTAGGAGGCCATCATTAGGATGCAACCAAAATTGCAAGGAAAATGAACCTGTGGGTGTTGAATGAGTTAACATGGACAGCTAGACCAGTCTTACACAG